TTTGCCAGTGTTGTTTGGATTTCAGCCAGCTGCTCCAATGAGGTTTGAGCAACATTCTCAATCTTTCTATAATGGAAGTTCCCATATGCTGCACTGTAGCCTGGAGGGAAGACTGAAGCAGCTGCGCTGTAATTGGGTCATTCGGCTGTGTTCCTTCCGGTAAGAATGTTTTCGGCGCCATCTTGTGGGCCGTGGCTAAAGCTGTCTCAGTCGTTTTCTCTGTTGTTTTTTTGTGAGGAGACTTCCATTTCTTCGGTCCCCAAACCCACAGGTGAGGCTGACTTGTTTCTGTTTGTTTTCCCCATTGTTTTGTTAATAACAGACCATGTGGGCCGTGGCTAAAGCTGTCTCAGTCGCTTTCTCTGCTGTTTTTTGTGAGGAGACTTCCGTTTCTTCGTTCCCCAAACCCACAGGTGAGGCTGGCTTCTTTCTGTTTGTTCTCCCCATCGTTTTGTTAATAACACACAGTTTTTACTTGCTCTGAGGCGGGAGATTTGCAGAGTTGGGAGAGAACTGAGGAATCACGCACCCACCATCTTTTGCAGCTACATCACGCCCCCCCTAGCTTCCGAGATCTGACGAAATCAGGCTAGCCTGGGCTCTCGATTTAACTCCCGATAATACCTGAGCCATGGCATTCTGCACCAACTGGATTGATTTTGAGGGAAGACCAATGGACAGTGTATTATGGTATAATCTAGTCTGCATGTCACCATGGGGTGGTTCCCGATAATACCTGAGCCATGGCATTCTGCACCAACTGGATTGATTTTGAGGGAAGACCAATGGACAGTGTATTATGGTATAATCTAGTCTGCATGTCACCATGGGGTGGTTCCAGATGGCCAGATCAGCTGTATCAAGGTAAGGGGCCATCTTATGGGCTAGCCTGAGTTGGGAGAAAGCATTATTTAGAGTGGTGTTAACTGGCTTCTACAGCAATCCTGTTGGATTTGGTATAACCTCAAGGCTCTTAAGTCAGCAAGAGTTAGCCGTGTTGGAAGTTCCAGATGCGATGTTCTCTGTTTCAGACCTCCAGACTGAGCGGCAAGAAAGACTAGATAGCTAGATAGGCACCCTGACCTTTCTTCCTGTATCTACTCTTCTGCCACTGTCCTCTTTGAAATGCAGTTGTATTCTCAGGGATCAATTTCCCCTTCCTCCCCTCTCACTTTGGATGAAGACGCACTCTCTACCTGCACGCACCAAGAGAGGAACACGCGGTCCTCTTTTGGCACCATGAGTCAGATGGGGCCTCTCGCCATCTGCTGCCGTCCTTTAGCTAGTAAGTTAGTAATCTGTCAACCTCTGCTCTTTCCTAGCCAAAGTGTACTTCTCAAACAGAGAAGCATTTATCTTCTAAACTTCCAACGTGGCTCTTCGTAGCTTTGTAAGTTGAGTACCCTGGTAAAGTGACGCTCCTGCGCCTGTAGCTTTATTTAAACACTCTGCTAACAGAGTTGAACTCCATCAAAAGTGGGGAGCGTACTGTCATTCAAGATCTCCACCTTCCCAAACAACATTACCTCTGTCTTTTCAGGGATTAGTTACAGTTTGTTCACTCTTAGTCTCCCTCCCACAGCCTAGCCAGACTGCAATTTAGGTTATAATGCCACACAATCCACCCTCAACAGCAACCATTTTCTCCAGGGGAACTGATCTCTTTCTTCTGGAGTTCAACTTGTAATTCTGGGAGATCTCCAGGTCCCACCTGGAAGCTGGCAACCCTAGGCCTGGCAGCAATCACTGGGTGACTTGATACCACTTGACTTGCATGACACACCTAGGACTGGCTACTGGATCCTGCTCAACAGAGCCAACCTATGAAAGTCAGTAGGGTGTATTGGTTAGAGCTTCAGAGTACGGTCTCAGAGACCTGGGTTTGAATCCCCATCTCACTGTGGAAGCTCACTGGGTGATTTTGGGCCAGTGACATACTTTCAGTGTAACCTACTTCACAGGGTTTATTGTGAGGATAAAAAGGAGCAGAGATGAACGATACAAGTTTCTTTGGTCCCCACTGTGAAGAAAGCCAGGGTAAAAATGAAGTAAGCAAAGAATAACTATAGCTGAAGATGAGAGCAAAGATAGGCTGGTGAATGGCTAAGAAGGAGAGAATGAGGGAGGGAAAGTGGAGAGGTTATGGGGGTTGGCAAGAGGAAGGAAAGAGGAAATAGTGGTCATTTTGGTCAAATGATAGGCAGTCATTTCCCCAGAAGGCATTTTCCTGGGGCCCCTTCTTTGGGGGGCCGTAACTCGGACCCTGTAAACCCAATCCTCACTAAATTTGGAGGGCAGGTAGAGGAGAGTCAGCTGGAGATACCTTACAATTTGGTGTCTCTAGCACACCAGGGCACGTTCTACCGCCTCACGAAAATCTCAACCCTCATGGGTTGACAAGGTGGCTAAAAATTCATGACAGTCTGTGGTTCACAAAACGGGGCACATCCTGAACCATGAACCTAACCAAACAACATTTTCCTAGTTCATGCCTGTCCCTAGCTATGACCCTTGCTTAGCTGAGGCCCCTGCCACACGGGGGGGGGGGGAATGCATGGCCAAAGTGCGGCTTTTGGAAGCCGCACCAAAATAGACACGCTGCAGCGAGATCACATGGATCCCCTGAGCCGCAGCGCTGTTTGCTCCCCGGCATGATTAGATGCCAGGGAGGAAGCCATGGTCGAAGACCGAGGCAGCTGGATGCGCATGCGTGCGCATGCGGAGTTATCAGATGCCGGGGAGGAAGCTACGGTCGAAGACCGAGGCAGCTGGCTGCGCATGCGATCCCACGGCCGCGCTTGCCGTGGCCATTCAGGTAAGACCACCTCTGTCGATGGTTCTTTTTTGCTGTGGGTTTTCGGACGTAGGGACGGATCGGGGACGGGTACGCACCGCTTCCCAGATGTTGCGGTGAGATCGCACCCGTTTGCTGCACCCCCGATCCGTCCCTCTCCCGGGCCAAAACCCTCCGTGTGACCGGGACCTGAGTCTTGTTTTCTCTGATTCCTTAAGAAATGCTTAATCTAAGGTTGCTGCCTGGAGGAAAACAGTGTTCTCTCCCTTTAACAGAGTCATTATAGGATGTTATTTAGCTCTTCAGATCTTCATTTCCACACACTAAGCCTCTGGGAAAGAGGCAGGATTCCCCCCCCTCCCCCATTCAGTCCTGTGAGCGACCCTAAAGCAGATACCTTTCAAAACTGAAGTAAAGAGATGGAAAGAGAATTCTCTCAGTCTGCATCATAAAGGCACAATCTCAGTGAAGGAAGTCAAGTGGGGCTCAGAGATGGGTACTAAGCCTTGGCCCAGGGCTTAATTTAGGCCATTTCTAGATCACGGGGCCCCGGGAGAGAGGGGTGATCAGTGCAGGAGGAGGGAATCCTACTTCTCCCTCCTTATTCTCTCTGGGAGAATCTGGGGTGGGGAGAATTCTTCAGATTCTGGAATTTGTGTCCCACAAGGTTCATCTGCCAACTCCAGGGATACCAGTCCATTTCCACAATACTGGATGTTGTTGGGCGGTCTGACCCCTTAGAACTTACTGAGTTGTTGGGCTGGGGGACACGACCTCTTCCTTTCAACTCAAATTAATCCTACTGCCAGGATGCTTTAGGCTGTAAAGTGGTAAAACCCCAAAAAGCTCACAGCAGGCTGGACTGGGGAGGGATTAGGGTTGTAAAATGCCTCTTCTAGAACTGCTTGTCAGATAAAAGTGTTTGTGAATCAAGGAGGCTGGCTAGTCACACTGTGTTTATGCCAGGAGCAGAGGGGCTGTAGATATCTGTTACCCTCAACTTCTCTATTTCTTCACGGGATTTCGAAGGAGGAGGAGATTGGATTTTTACCCTGCTCTTCACTACCTGAAAGAGTCTCAGAGCAACTTACAATCCCTTTCCCTTCCCCTCCCCAAAACAGACACCGGTGAGGTAGGTGGAGCTGAGAGAGCTCTTTTCAAGGACTGCTCTTGAGAGAACAGCTCTGACAGAGCCATGACTGACCCAAGGTCACCCCCGCAGCTGCATGTGGAGGAGCGGGGAATCAAACCCGGTTCTCCCAAATTAGAGTCTGCGTTCCTAACTATTACACCAAATCAAATGGTTTTGCCAGTTTTGCAGATGTCAAAAAGCATTAGTTTGGCAGATAACCTGAAGGAGGAGGGCAAACACTAAATGGCCCTACTCTAAGTAATTTCTTTCTGAGCTTTTCTGAACCTCCAGCACTGAGAACTTGAAGAAAACCCTCATCAGAACCAGATATAGGAAAGTTTCACCCTTGTACAGATTCTCTGAGGAACATGAAAGTTGGGTCTGTATCTCAGGCTCTCACCACACACAGCATTGATGAGGCATCTCCCCTGGGTGAACTCCTCGGTGCTAAAGAAGATATCAGCTGATCCTTCTACCCACAGAGCCCATCCATATCCTTGCTTTCTTCACTGTGGGATCTATTTGAGGTTTTAAATATGACTAAAGCTCTTTCCATTGTCCAAGCATTTATAACATTTCTTCCTGATTAGGGTAAGGTTTTTGTGTACATTCAAGCCCTTTACAACAGTTTACATCATTTCAACACTCTGTATGGTCTGTGGGTGTCTTTTAGATATGAAAGAAGAGAAAATCTCTTTTCACAGGCTAAGCAGTTACCTTGTTTCTCCTTGTGTGGGTTTTTAGATGTTTTTAAAAAGTGAAGAGTCGGACTCGACTATGCAACTGAACGACAACAACAATAACAACAAAAAGTGCTACTCCAACTGAATCTCTTTTCACACTCTGAGTGCTCAAAGGTTTTCTGCCTTGTGTGGGTTCGTTGGTGCAGTTGAAGTTTGCAACTCTGACTGAATCTCTTTCCACACTCTGAGCATGCCAAAAGTTTCTCCTTTGTGGGTTCTCTGATGCTGTTGAAGATGGCTACTCTGACTGAATCTCTTCCCACAATCGGAGCATTCAAAAGGTTTCTCTCCTGTGTGGGTTTTTTGGTGCTGTTGAAGAGTGCCACTGTGCCTGAATCTCTTCCCACACTCTGAGCATTCAAAAGGTTTCTCCCCTGTGTGGATTCTTTGGTGCCGTTGAAGAGTGCCACCATGCCTGAATCTCTTCCCACACTCTGAGCATTCAAAAGGTTTCTCTCCTGTGTGAGTTCTCTGGTGCTGTTGAAGAGTGCCGCTGTGCCTGAATCTCTTCCCACACTCTGAGCATTCGAAAGGTTTATCTCCTACGTGGGTTCTTCGATGTTGTTGAAGAGTGCCACTCCGACTGAATCTCTTTCCACACTCTGAGCATTCAAAAGGCTTCTCCCCTGTGTGGGTCCTTTGATGCCGTTGGAGATGGCTACTCTGCCTGAATCTCTTTCCACACTCTGAGCATTCAAAAGGCTTCTCCCCTGTGTGGGTCCTTTGATGCCGTTGGAGATGGCTACTCTGCCTGAATCTCTTTCCACACTCTGAGCATTCAAAAGGCTTCTCCCCTGTGTGGGTCCTTTGATGCCGTTGGAGATGGCTACTCTGCCTGAATCTCTTTCCACACTCTGAGCATTCAAAAGGCTTCTCCCCTGTGTGGGTCCTTTGATGCCGTTGGAGATGGCTACTCTGCCTGAATCTCTTTCCACACTCTGAGCATTCAAAAGGCTTCTCCCCTGTGTGGGTCCTTTGATGCCGTTGGAGATGGCTACTCTGCCTGAATCTCTTTCCACACTCTGAGCATTCAAAAGGCTTCTCCCCTGTGTGGGTCCTTTGATGCCGTTGGAGATGGCTACTCTGCCTGAATCTCTTTCCACACTCTGAGCATTCAAAAGGCTTCTCCCCTGTGTGGGTCCTTTGATGCCGTTGGAGATGGCTACTCTGCCTGAATCTCTTTCCACACTCTGAGCATTCAAAAGGCTTCTCCCCTGTGTGGGTCCTTTGATGCCGTTGGAGATGGCTACTCTGCCTGAATCTCTTTCCACACTCTGAGCATTCAAAAGGCTTCTCCCCTGTGTGGGTCCTTTGATGCCGTTGGAGATGGCTACTCTGCCTGAATCTCTTTCCACACTCTGAGCATTCAAAAGGCTTCTCCCCTGTGTGGGTCCTTTGATGCCGTTGGAGATGGCTACTCTGCCTGAATCTCTTTCCACATTCTGAACATTCCAAAGGTTTGTCCCCTGCATGGATTCTTTGGTGCTGTTGAAGAGTGCCACTATGCCTGAATCTCTTTCCACACTCTTTGCATTCAAATGGTTTCTCCCCTGTGTGGGTTTTTTGGTGCTGTTTAAGATTGAAACTCCAACTGAATCTCTTTCCACACTCCAAGCACTCAAAAGGTTTATCCCCTCTTTCGGTTCTTAGATGGTGTTGAAGACTGCCACTTGAACTGAATTTCTTTTCATGGACATTATTTTGGGTTTGCTCTGAGATGTCCATTCTATATTTTGAGCACTTGTATGTTTCTTCTGCCATGTGAATGACTCTTTGGAAATGCCCCCCTTGGCAAGGAATGGGTTGATCTCTATTCTTGACCATTTGGCTGCCTTTCTGCCTCTTGGATCTGCCTTGATTCCTGAAGTTTCCTTCGAAATCTCCATTTTCAACTTTATCTGGCAATTGCCGGTGAAGTTCCTCACCTTCCTCATTCCTCTGATCAACCTCTGCTGGAAGAAAGAGAAAGATCCCATTAGCACCTGGGAGGGCAGGTAAAATCCGAAGGCATCTATGTGACTGCAGTAGAAAAGGACTGACAGCCCTTTGGCCTCGTCCAACTTGGCTGATCTTAACTACCCCCCCTTCTCCCCAGAATATCTAGGATTTAAGGATACTGCAGCCCCTGAAGAGCCACAGCTGAGCTCTTGCCCAGAAGGAGCTTCCGAGCCTCCAGATCCCCGGCCCCAGAAGGCCTCTCTACCTCCTTACCCAGTGGGCTTTATAATTCTACGAAACTAAGAAACCGCCCATGGCTATTCCTTGTCTGTTTCCTTGATTTACGCGTGAAGGATACCCACTCTCAGCCAGCTCATTTGGGAAGGAAATCCTCTCTTGAGATCCTCTTGAGAAGCTCTCCAGCCCTTCTTTGGACTCAAGCCTTCTGTCTGTCTCCACCACAGTCTCTTTTACATTCCTTTCTTGTTTGGCAGAGAGAGAGAGAGAGAGAGAGAGAGAGAGAGAGAGAGAGAGAGAGAGAGAGAACACGAACATTACTATATCGGGAAGGAAAGAGATCCAAGCAAAAAGAAAAATTCTTCTGGAGGTACAAAAACATGATCAAGATCAAAGCCCACAATCCCAAGCAGTATAAGGGGGAATAAATCCATTCCAGATCAGAGTTAGGGCAGATGACGGTCATCCCCTCTGGAGGAAGAGTGTATTGTCAAGGCTGAAAACAGAAATTACGATCTGGCCCCTTTTAGAGTCCTTCTGAGGGCCTCTCAAGTACTTGAAGATGGTTATGATATCACCTCTCAGTCATCTCTTCTCCAGGCTAAGCATACCCAGCCCAAAACTGAACACAATACTCTAGGTGAGGTCTAACCAGAGCAGAGTAAAGCGATACCATCACTTCACGTGATCTGGACACTATACTTCTGTTGATACAGGCCAAAACCGTATTTGCCTTTTTAGCAATCGCATCACACTGCTGATTCATGTTCAGTGTATGGTCTACTAAGACCCCCAGATCCTTTTCACACGTACTACTGCCAAGACAAGTCTCCCCCGCCCCAGCCTATAATTATGGATTTGATTTTTCCTACCTAAATGCAGAACTTTACATTTATCCCCATTTAAATGCATTACATTTCTTTTAGCCCAGTTTCCCAGCCTGTCAAGATCATCCTGTATCCTACCATATTTGCTACCCCTCCCAATTTAGTATCATCTGCAAATTTAATAAACATTCCCTCTATTCCTTCATCCAAATCATTGATAAAGATGTTGAACAAAACACGTCCCAAGACAGATCCTTGAAGCACTCCACTTGTCACTTCAAGATGATAAAGAACCATTCACAAAATTTGCTTTCCTAAAGTCCAACCTATATGTCTGACCATGTACAGCTTTTACGTTCCCCAAGACCGTAAATTCCAAAATTACATGGTCAGAGCTGCGGTGGCTCAAGTGGTTAAGACGCTGAACTGCAGGCTGTGGAACGTCAGTAGTTCAGCAGTTCGAGACCCGGGTGCCGCATGACGGAGTGAGCTCCCATCTCTAGTTCCAGCTCCTGCCAACCTAGCAGTTCAAAAGCAAGAAATTGCAAGTAGATAAATAGGTACCACTTCGGTGGGAAGGTAACAGCATTCCGTGTGCCTTGGTGTTTAGCCATGCCGGCCACATGACCACGTACGCAGGGCTATGCAGAAAACTGGAGAGGTCAGCCAGGGCCACTCCAACAGGAGCTATGCAACAAAAGAAATTTGCATAGCCTATCGAGCGAGCAGAGGCGTGACCTAACCAGTTTCTGGATGACTTCCCCCCACTGAAGGAGAATGTGACTCCTCAACCCTTCCTTATTTCTCTGTCCCTTTTAAATAAGTTATACCCCTCAATCCTAATATTCCAATTGCGAGTGTCATCCCACCAAGTTTCAGTAATGCCTGTTATGTCACAGTTCCCTTCCTGTGTTAGGACTTCAAGTTCCTCCTGCTTGTTTCCCGTGCTCTATTCTTCTTTGAGCCAACTTCAGTTTCTCTTCTGGAAGGTGAGATATGAATATTTTAATTATTATAAGGAATCGCCCTCCACGAATTCATCTAATCTCCTTTCAGAGGCACCAGTTAGTGGACACTGAGTGCCGGAAATTAACTCTATGTTGTGCGAAGGACTATTCAATTCTTTTCCTGATCTGAACTCTCTCTACCCATCAGATTCACTGGGTGCCCCTACTGCATCCAGGGACGATGAGTCCTTACCACATGAAGGGGTTTCTTGGGCACACTCCTGGGCCGGCCCCCTCTGCCCTTGCTCCAAAGAAGCTCCTTCCGCCTCAGAGAAGGCAGCTTCTATCTTCACGGATGGTCCCCACATCTGAAAAAGCAGCAAGGGAGAAGGGTAAGAGATGGAATAGAACAGACCAAGGAATGGCTCCTGCCCCACTCCTAGACTGTGCACTCTTCTATCAGCAGACCTGGTGAGTTACCTGGATAAGAAATTCTATAGTGGAAGAGGGGGCTGAAGGAAGGTGTTAAATCTCCCATTTGGATAATTAATACTTGGGCAAATATCTCTCAGGGAAACTTTAGGATAAAGCCAGATATCGTTGCTTGAATCGGACACACCTGGAGGAAACCCCCTCACCTGTTCTGCCGGCCTCTTCTCCTCTGCCTGATTCAGGAGGAAACTTTCGGCCAGGGCCACCGCCTGGGAACTGGTCTCCGGCCCACATCCTCTGACCCAGCCCTGCATTTCCTGGGGCAGGATGGCCAGGAACTGCTCCAGGATCACCAGGTCCAGGATCTGCTTCTTGGAGTGCCTCTCGGGCTCCAGCCAGTGGTTGCAAAGTCCGTGGAGCTGGTTGCAAACTTTTTGGGGCCCATCAGCTTCATGGTAGCAGAACTGCCGGAAGCGCTGGCAATGCATATCTGAGGTCATGGTCTCTTTAGGCAGGATCTCTGGGACAGATCTTTCCCAAAATTCAACACTACTCCCAGCTTGGAAGAAAAAGGGATCTTTCATTGCTCTCTCGCCAGTTCCAGGTCCTTCTGGGTCCTGCTCTTCCATCTCCTTACCCTTCTCCTGAGTCACCTCCGACTGTGAAAAAATTCCTTTATTCTCCTGGCTATGGAGAGAGGCTTCTCCCTGGGGGGACAGAGAGAGACAGACAGCAATGTATCAAAAGGAAGATAAAAGAGAATGGAGATTCACCACTGAATACCACAAACCCTCATATCTTCAGGAGACAAGTGAGAATTGCCCTGGTGGATCAGAACAAAAGTGCTTCTTGTGATTTATGGACCAGGTTTAATATCATTTTGCCAGATTACATACCAAGCTATTTTAGATATGTCTCCTTGGTTCTCTGGGAAAGTTAAGTGTCTCTATTAGGTTCTTTAAGGATGTTATAAGCTTAGCCTCTCATTACATTGGTTCATAGAGTCCAGGGGCACCTTTAAGACCAACAAAGTTTTATTCAACGTGTGAGCTTTTGTGTGCACGCACACTTTGTCAGACAATGACATGGAATTACAGATCATACTTGTGTATATATACAGAGTGGCTTGTTAAATTAGCATGCAAAATAGTGAAGTGTTTTTTAACAGATAAAAACAATGACAAGCTTGGTTTTTGGTTATCATCTGTTTGGGTTCAACTGGGGGGGGGTCAACATAGGAAATAAATATGTCTGGGGGGGGGTCAACATAGGTAATAAATATGTCAGAACTGTACCCGAAATTGTAAGAATTCAGTCATTAGATTCCACCCATCTCCTTTCTAGCATGGAGGCAAACTTTAACTCCATGTTTTAGTGAAGCAAAATGTTACTTTTTTAAAAATCTCAGTTTACTACTCTTAACCATTAGGAATCTAACTGAATACGTCATGTCATTTGGAGTGGTAGATTTAAATGTAATTCTCTATTCCGGGGACAAGAAAAATACTCTACGCAACCAAGATGCTTTAAAGTATGATCTGTAATTCCATTTCAATGTCTGACGGAGTGTGTGAGCACACAAAAGCTCACACCTTGAACAATACTTTGTTGGTCTTAAAGGAGCCACTGGACTCTAACTTTGTTCCATTACACTGGTTCAGTCTGTCCAAGGTACACTGGAGCCCCAAAAGGAGAAAACAGACTGGTACCCCTTAACCGTTGTATGTATCTTTTCAGTAGGCCGGAAGCGTTAGGCAAGAGCTCTGTTCCAGCACCTAGCTGAGGGGAAGGGGCAGGAATGTGTCTGTGGGAAGAATGAGCAGCTGAGATTGGGAGAGAAAGGCAGACAGGCTTCGGATGAGATTTGGCTCAAGAATCTTGAGGCGGAGAAACGCTGCCTCTGGGCACCTGATGTGGGGTAGCAGACTTACAACTCTGTAGGGATTCTGCTGGCTTCCACCCATGCTCTGCTTTACCAGTTCATTTGTAATTAAAGCAAATAAGAAGAAGACACCAGAAGGCTCCAGAGCTTTCTCTTTCCAACGGGAACCAACCCAGGCAAACGGTATCCCTTGGAGTTTCTTACCACATGAAGAAGCAGGGCATATATCACAAATCTTTCACCCAGAGAAGAATCACAGTTTTCTCCTGGTCCCTTATTCCAGCTCACCCTTGACAAAAGGACTGTTTTCCAGAGTCCACCCTGTTTGGGAACACGCCTACGCCCAGTCCTTGAACAGCTCTGGATGGCTACTAAGCGTGAAACTGGTGCCCTGCTGGAGATGGTAGATGGGGGGAGCAGCCAAAATGCTTGGCGCTCGGGCCAGGCAATCAGCATGAGCGATTCATCCCATTTGATCCCATCAGGGATTTCTTCCTGGGCCTCCTAACCACCAAAAGGCAAACTTTGTATTATTGCTGGCATCCCCCTTAAAAAGGTAAAGGTAAGGGTTCCCTTGCTCGAAAGCCAGTTGAGTCCGTCTCTAGGGTTGCGGTGCTCATCTCCGTTTCAAAGCTGAAGAGCCAGCGCTGTCCGAAGATGTTTCCGTGGTCATGTGGCCGGCATGACTAAACACCAAGGCGCACGGAATAGCAGGACATGAACTTACCCCTCCTGTGACAGTGGACTTGTTTGGTGCCAGTTTGGTGTAGTGGTTAAGAGCAGAGGACTCTAATCTGGGAGAACCAGGTTTGAGTCCCCACTTCTCCACATGCCGCTGCTGGTGTGACCTTGGGTCAGTCATAAGTTCTCTCATAGCTGTTCTCTCAAGAGCAGTTTCTGTCAAGAGCTCTCTCAGCCCCACCTACCTCACGGGGTGTCTGTTGTGGGGAGGTGAAGGGAAGGAGACTGTAAGCCACTCTAAGACTCCGAGTGAAGGGCCGGGTATAAATCCAATATTTTCTTCTTCTTTTTAATTAACAATGTTCACGTTTTTAACATTAAACATTTCAACAAACCAACATATACAACCATAATAGTTAGATACCTTTAGTATTTTACATTGTTACTCATTCAGTAATGTTATAAATTCAAAAATATATCATGTCACAGTACAGAGGGTTATTTGGAATTATATTTAACTGTGTCAAGAAAGAAATTACTGGATACCAAACAGCAACTACTTATTTATCATATCTTGTTGGAAAACAGTTTGATGCAGTAAAGGACAATTTGCTTAATATGAAATAATCCCATATTTTAGAGAACCACTGTTATACCGATGGTTGTTTTTTATCTATCCATTTAGTAGTAATTACAGTTCTCGCTATTGATAATAATATAGAAATCAATTCTGATTTTGAAGTGTTTCTGATGGGATCTATCCATTTTTCTAACAAAATAACTTTGGGCACAAAAAGGATACCTACTTGTGTGATGTCTTTAATTATCTGTACCTTGTTGCCAAAAGGTTTTAATGGCCGGGCACGTCCACCAAAAGTGGAAAAAAATTGGCTGGTACTTCGCATTGCTTTTTGCAGTTGGGTGAAAATGTGTTGTTTTCCTGAGCAGCATTTTGATTGCTTGAAATCTTACAGTAAATATTTTTGATGTTAATGCTGGTGCTGTCCAAATGATATTTTAATCATTTTCTGTTAGAGATAACTGCAGATCATTCTGCCATTGTTCTTGGTATAAAGTTATAGGATCTTCGTCTAGTTTATTTAAAATTTTATAAAGAGCAGTTATCAAGCCTGGGTCTTGTTCTTTTTTTCCCCCTTGTAATATCTGTTTGAATGGTGTCATGAGAAGGGGTCATTTCCTGCAGGAGCGCACAAGAGCGGAGCTCCGGCAGTAAAGAGCCCAGGGGGCGGGCACATGCAACAAGCCCCACCCCCTGCTCCCAGCAGCCCTCAGCCAGAGCAAGAAGCAGCCAGGTAAGTTGCAGAGCCCTCCCAGCCCCCGGTCCAAAACAGTCCAGTGGCACCTTTAAGACCAAGTTTTATTCAGGTACAAGCTCTCCCTCCTCTGTGAGGACAGAGCTGCGTGTTCACCCCCCCCCCCAATAGCTAGCAATCCAAAACAGTCCAGTGGAGCCTGAGCGGTGGGTGCTGCCTTCTGACACGCTTCCGGTGATGTCAGGGGTGTGTGGCATATGCAAATGAGTTATGCTAATGAGTTATGCTAATGAGCTCCTGCACCTCTTTTTCTACGAAATGACCCCTGGTCATGAGTCCAATTCTAGTTTAAGTTGAGGGGAATCTAATAGGTGTTTTAGTTGTAAGTATTTATACCAATGCATGTTTTGTTGTAGTTTTTCTTCTAATTTTGCTTTTTTATTATTTTATTTTTTCTAACAAATGAGTAATCCAGCTAATACTAGCTTCTCTCCATAAAGGAATTCTGCATTATGTTGACCCAGGACAAACCATTTTTTTCCTGTAAAATGGAAGCTTGACCAGTCTCCAACTCCTCCTCCTCCTTTTGGGGCAACAGAAAACAACTCCGTGCCATCCTCTATATGACATCCCTTCAAGTACTGGAAGATATTTATCATATCAACTCTGAGTCGCCTCCCTTCCAGGCTATCATGGCCAGCAAAAGATTCAGTTCCATACATTTAACCTTTCTTGTACGAAAAAGACATTGATTATCGCCTCCCCACCCCAGAATAAACAAAATCTGCTTACACAGCGGCGCAAAACTGGTCCCTCGTAGGGTTGTCAACCTCCAGGTGGGGTCTGGAGATGCCCCAAAATCACAACCGACCTCCAGCTGACACAGATCAGTTCCCCTGGAGAAAATGCCTGCAGTGGAGGGAGGGCTCTTATGGCCTGGTTCCCATCTCAGGTTACCCTCCCCTTCCCCTTAATCTACCTCCCCCTAAATATGCAGGAGTTTGCCAACCGGGAGTTGGCAACCCTTTGACAATCGTGGCCGAGAATGATCCCAGCCTTCCGCTGGTATTTAAAAGTTTATTCTCTCCCCCCACCCCCACCCCCATGACTTACTTCTAAGTAAACCTTCCCCGGATCCGGCTGCACAGCTCTCCCCCGCTGGTGCAAATCCGATGCCCTTCCCGCTCCCTTCCCCAATTCAGCAGCAAACCCCCCCCCGGAAAAGAGCCTTTCCTCCCCCCCCCCCCCCCCCGCCTCTCTAGCAAACGGCTCTGTAGCCGTACAGAAGAGCAAGAGTCCAGCAGCACCTTAAAGATACACGGGGTTGCGCTCCGACATCTCAGAAGAAGGAGGCTCAAGCTGGGTCCCAGTTCCTTATTCATCCACCATTTATTAGGACTGTAAAATTTTGGGTGTTTTTTTAAAAATTTATTTTTTAAGTACCAATTTTTTCCTACAGACAATACAAAACCAGAGAAAAAACAGACAGAGCAGTAGTTCCATATAGGGAACAGCAAGATCTCTCCAGAGAATCATAAAAAACAAATACAAGATAAATTAGAAACATATTGTGGTAGTTGCAAACCAGATATGTACAAATAGTCAATATTGCAAACCAGCTTACAACGTTTTGAACTGCAGAGAGCAGGCATTCTTGGAAAGACCTAACTACCCAGTGCTCATATACATCAGGCAAGTCAACAGTAAATAAGATCATGATAAAATTTGTTTTTAGGGAGAACATCCATCATTTTTCGTTGGATAAGAAATTATTGGGAACCAAAGGGCAATAAACTTCTCTTGACTGTGTTCTGTCTGTGTATCAGAACTAAATGCATAAAGCTGACCCAAAAGGAAATTATCGCACAGTCGAGAAGGACGGTAAAATTTTGGCGGGTGGGGTGGCCTCTCTGGCATTATACCCCACTGAGTTCCCTTCCCTTCCCAAACCCTGCCCTCCCCAGGTTTCTCCCGCAAATCTCAAGGAATTGGCTAGCTATTTTGTGACTGGTCCCACCTCCTACGATGACCATTTTGTGGCAATGCTCATATGGTTACCAACCTCCAGGTGGGGCCTGGAGTTCTCCCAGAATTCCACATAATGTCCTGACTACACAAATTAATTCCCCAGGAGGACATCGGCAGCTTTAGAAGAGGGATTATAGGGCAACGCATCCTTGTTGAGCTTCCTCCTCCCCCCATTCACTAAGGTTGCCAACTCCAGTTTGGGAAATTTTTGCAGGAGGAGAGCCTAAGGATGTGGGGGCAGGGACCTCCACGCGGTAGAGTCCACTCGAAGAAGAAGAGGAAGAAGAAGAAGAGGAGGAAGGGGGATTGGATTTATACCCCGCCCTTCACTACCCAAAGGAGTCTCAGCAGCGCCACCCTCTGTCCCCGATCAACCCACTTCAGAGTTGTCTCGCGCACTCCAGCATCAGTGAGACAGAGAACGCTGCTGCCAAGTCAAGCAATAACAGCAGTGCCGACCCGCCTTGGTCCAACTGCCTACGGAACTCGTCCATGAGGGCGACCAGTACAGTCTCCATCCCGTGGCCAAGGCGGAAGCCAGACTGGAATGGATCTAGTGCCAATGTGCTCTCCAGGAAACTGTGAAGTTGCTCGGCAGCTGCTCCTTACCCAGGAACGAGAGATTCAAAACTGGGCGGTAGTGGGATGGATCGGAAGGGTCCCAGGATGGTTTCTTCAAGGGCAGTATTACCATTGCCTCTTTTAGATTATGTCCATCAGAGGGCTCCCCTATACCCTCGCTGCTGGCTTGTAGCAGCCATAAATGGCACAGGTCCAAGAGGCAAGTGGTTGGCTTTGCATTCCTCGGGATCCTGTTGACATCAGCCGCAGAGAGTCGGCGGAAGTTGTCAAGTACCGACTCCAAAGGTGGCCATACTGTATTAAATACAGTTCACATGCTATATTAAAGTTGGCAGGCAGATCGCAGCATTCTGTCCGCCACAAAACTTGCAAATGCATCACAGTTTATATCCAAATTACTAGTCTTTTTAGTTCTCTCTGTGAGAGAAGATAAAGTCTTAATTACCCTGAATAATTGTGCCAGGCAAGAATTAGCAGATGAAGGCTGCACAGAATACCCTCTTAGCACCCTTCACCA